TCTCCGACTCAGTGCCTCTGGCCCTGGGCAGGCGGGGGGAGGCGCAGACTTAGGGGTGCTGGGGTAACACCCGAGAACTTCCCGGGGAGAGGGTGCGCGGGGGATTTCCACAGTCCTCCTCGCGGCCCCCTCAGTGGGGCGATGTTGGGAGGGCACTGGGGTGTTCCGAGACCGCAGGTGGGGGTTGGGGGACTCCTCTTCCTCCACTTCCCACTGCCACCTTGCACACCCCAAGGCGGGACTGTTCCCTTGCCCTCCACTCTCCGCCTCCCCCTGGAGTATGAAATGGGTGAGTGGCTTTGTGTGGGCCGAGGATTTCACGGTTTGGGGGCTCCCCCATTCTAGGTCATGCCTTCTGCCCTCTTCCTTGGCCTGCGTTGGCTGAGGTGTTCCTGTGGTGGGCGAAAGTCAGTACGTTGGCTAGTGGCCTTGGCCCTTAACCCTTTTTGTCTGTTTTAAGGTAAATTTCTCGGAGTTTGGGAGGCATACGTTTCTATTTATTGAATTTCTTTTGGATTTTCTCTGTAGAAGGAAGTGGAAGAAGAATCTTTTCTTTTTCCCTTTTCCTCCATTTGCATTCTTTGTGAGGTCTGTCTGCCTTGTGGTTTTTGTCCCAGATTAGTCTTGTTCAAGGATGGAGATTCCCAGGAGTGGAGTCTATAGCTTTTGGCTTCCATTAAGCAAATTCTCTAACCTTTTAAAGGGAAAGTTAATTTTTGCCTGCAGTCATTCGGAAAAATAGCATACACTGACTAGATGAATTATACACTTAAGATTGTAATTTAGTTACATATGGTAGATATGTTAACTAGTGTCTCTTTTTTTTGGATGAAACTGGTGTTTTTTTAATTAAGAGATGAAGTAATAGATTATTTTAATTAAAAAGCCATAACTGAGAAAGCCTGTAGTGCTGAATTTTGGGTGAGATGTTCTGCTTGAGGTTCTTCCTGTTCCGAGTTGGAATAGTCCTCACCCTTTTGAGGGATATTATTGTTCCCTTTACCCATTTCAAATTGCTTTCGTATTTAAATGAAGATTCTTCTAGTTAACTGTTAGATTTAAAGAAATCACTCAAGTGTCACCTTTGGTGAAGTGAACTCAGTTTAAGGTTAAGAAACTAGTTTCAAACTGACCCTTTGGCCTCTGGAGCAAATTCAAATGTAACTCTCCCCCCAACCCCTCTTCTCTTCCAGATTAATTAAAAGAAGAATTAACAGTAATCCTTGAAGATAACTGGGCAATTTTTCTTTAGATTTCATTTTTAATTGTAGACGTTCAAGTAGAGTCAGAGGCTCTTCTTGCTGGTGTGAAGATTTATACAAGTCTTCAGTTTGTCCACACAGACCAACAGATCATCATTTCTGGAGAAGATACCCCCCCCCACCTTTGGTGTCCTTGGTGCCAAAAATTAAATTTGAGTGCATTATTTTGACACAAGTAATTACATAGACTTTTTGCGTGTTGTGCTTAAAACCAAACCAAACCATTGCGTTGAACCTGGACGTCTTGAATTGAGAGAATTGGTAACTTTATTTTAATACATATATCTGAAGAATTAAAAATAAAGGCTTCCTTGGAGGTGTGCCTTTTAAAATTATTTTCTTTATTATTAAACATAAAGTAAGAAATTTTATAGTACCTGCAGTGAAATTACACTACAGTATAAGCAGAACCAAAACAAAGTTGCAAAATCTATTGAGTAGGGCAGTCTCTCTGGAAACTTAAATTTTCTGTGAGAGTAAGTTACCATAAGTATTGGTATACATTGCTTTTCTCTCTTCAGATAAGCAACTAAATAACAATGCAAATTTCAGACTTCCTTATTTAAACCAGTAGTTTTTTAGCAATGGAAAACCTACAAACAAATTTTCCCTTGGTTCAGGGCTCAAATAAAAAACTGAATGGAATGGGAGATGATGGCAGCCCTCCAGTGAAAAAAATGATGACGGACATTCACGCAAATGGAAAAATGATGATAAACAAGATGCCAACAGTAAAGAAGGAACACTTGGATGACTATGAAGCGCCAATGGAAACTGATGAAGAGCATGTCAAGCGAACCTGTGCCTCTGTGCCTGAACCTTTACATTTAAATCCCAGTTTGAAACACACTTTGGCACAGTTCCATTTAAGTAGTCAGAGTTCTCTGGGTGGACCAGCTGCATTTTCTGCTCGATATTCCCAAGAAAGCATGTCACCTACTGTATTTCTGCCTCTTCCATCTCCTCAGGTTCTTCCTGGTCCACTGCTCATCCCTTCTGATAGCTCCACAGAACTCACCCAGACTGTGTTGGAAGGGGAGTCTATTTCCTGTTTTCAGGTTGGAGGAGAAAAGAGACTCTGTTTGCCCCAAGTCTTAAATTCTGTTCTCCGAGAATTTTCACTCCAGCAAATAAATACAGTGTGTGACGAATTGTACATCTATTGTTCAAGGTGTACATCAGACCAGCTTCATATCTTAAAGGTCCTGGGAATACTTCCATTCAATGCCCCATCCTGTGGGCTGATCACATTAACTGATGCACAAAGACTATGTAATGCTTTATTGCGGCCACGCACTTTCCCTCAAAACGGTAGTATACTTCCTGCTAAAAACTCATTGGCCCAGTTAAAGGAAACTGGCAGTGCCTTTGAAGTGGAACATGAATGCTTGGGCAAATGTCAGGGTTTGTTTGCACCCCAGTTTTATGTTCAGCCTGATTCTCCATGTATTCAGTGTCTGGAGTGCTGTGGAATGTTTGCACCCCAGACATTTGTGATGCATTCTCACAGATCACCCGACAAAAGGACTTGCCACTGGGGCTTTGAATCAGCCAAATGGCATTGCTATCTTCATGTGAACCAAAAATACTTAGGGACACCTGAAGAAAAGAAACTGAAGATAATTTTAGAAGAAATGAAGGAGAAGTTTAGCATGAGAAATGGGAAGAGAACTCAGTCCAAGGCAAGTTTTATTTTATTTTTTAATAGTAATTTTGAATAATGGTTATGGTTTACTTTGAAATCAAGTCTGTTAGAATGCAGCTTAAGCTGTGTGTTAAGAATCTTGCTGCTCATGCAACAACAAAAATATTGATATATGTAATTTGTTTGTGTTATACATTTTAGGCTATAAAATGCTTTCCTGTGTGTGTTTGATCTTCTAAATACCCTACTGAGAGAAGTGGGATTATTCCCATTTTACAGATAAAGAGAATGAGGCTCAGAGAGATCAAGTGGCTTTCCCAAGATTATATAGCCAGGGAGTGGAGGATTTGGGACTTCTTTCTCAAGCCATGTCCTTTTTCTTTTTCACACATCCTGCTTTTTGATGACTAAATCTGTTGTTTTCCTAGGACTCAAGACAATTTACACTTTAGTGCTATCTCCATTTGCAAATGGTATAGTAGCTAGCCAAAACAGTTCTGGTGGTGGGTTCCAAACAGCATTTTTCAAAGGTACATTTAGGATTTCTGACATTGTTTCTGTAATTGGATATTCAGACTTGATCAGTATTGGAAACAAATGGAAAAGACAGATTTATCTGAAGAATTTATGATTATAATCACCAAGAATTTTTAAAGAATAAAATAATTTAAAAAATTATGACAGCTAGAATAAAGATTACTTTAGAGTAAATAAATAATAATATCAGCAGAGAGATTTTAAACTTACTTGCCCACTGCATTATCTAATAGGCTTAAACTCAAAACTTCATTTTAAGAGTTTGAATGCCTAGCTAATAGACAAAGTTTAGGCTATTAAATACTCAGTTTGTTGATCTGGTTTTTAAATATTTTCCCACTAGAGTAAGATCAGTAGCTAACACTAGGTGTTTAAAATGTGGCAAGCATTGTTCTTGAGCAGTTTCACACATGATTTTATTTGATTGGTACCACAGAAAATTGGCCACATTTCATCTTAAGAATCTAATTTTTTTTCTATTAGCTTTTATTTCTTGACATAATCTCTGCCCTTTCTACTTCGCAGAAGAAATGAATGAAGTGTATTAAATGACTGAAGGTTATTTATAGCAAGACGAGAGCTTGGGCAAGAACCTAAGTTTTGGTGTTCTGTGCTTTAATAGGGTGCCTTTCATGTTTTGAGGGAAATTTAGTTACAGTGTCGTTTTAAGACAGTGATTTGCTTCTGAAGCCTAATGGCAGTAATTTCAGATGTGAATTCAGAGTAGTTTGCTACTTGCTGATTCCCAAGGGTCTGTACTTTTTCGAAATTCTTTTCCTGTGGCTACTAGGTAAGTTTATATTGTTCAGGCGCAGTTATTAACTGATTTTAAAGCAGGATTGACTTCAAGCCAGTTCTCACATTGCTGGACTTACAGCTGGCCTGGTCTGATGCTGAAGGTTGTGCTTAGAATTACCTATATTCTCAAAATGTGAAATGCCCCTTTTGATATTTTTAATATCTTGCCCCAACCTGATGAGGAGCTGTACTCTCGCATGTCCACAGGTGGCCACATTATTTGCCAGATAATCTTGGTCCAGTCTTGATTGCTCTGACATAAACATTTTGGAGATAAATTACTTTGCCTATTATTCCTGCTCTATTTGTGAGAAAAAATATCTGAGAACCGTGATAAAGGTTAAAAAAAGAAGGTGATGAATTTACTTAACTGAAACTGAATGTGCTAGGGTTTGGTTAAAATTGAAACTATTCTTCATCTGTATGTAGTCCTTTATTGTCTCAGAATTTATTAATTTCTATTCAGTTTTTTTGGGAAAGGTGTGAGGTTTTTTCCCATCTTTTTACTATGTTATTTTTTACAGTGTTTGCTACGATGTTTCTCGTGTACTTTTGTTATTTTTTTTTCCAATTTTATTTGAATTTTAAGCAGTTTAAGGAAATTTAAGAAAATTACCAGTAATCAAACCTTTAAGAAAGATTTGGGGGGGTTCACATGTCGTACATACTTGTGTGGTTGTTTTACTGTGCTTTCCACTTCACATTTTGAAAATTCTTCCTCAAAATTTCTTTTTTGACAATCTGTGAACAAGGTTTCTCAGATGAGAAACCAGTCCCAGATGGGTCACATGCTCCTAGTAGTGTATCTAGTAGGAGGTAGAATCAGGAGTTGAATGAGGTCTTTTGACTTGAAGCCTAGTAAGTGTCACTACTTTTGCTGAAAGCAAACTCAGTAGAAGAAACTGAAGTTTGAGAAACAACTTTTCTTATCAACGTACCTTACTGTAATGGTTCTTAGACTCTATTCACTTGTGTGTAGACTAGTGTCTTACTGGGAAGGGGGCAAGGAGAGAGTCCTATACTGAGGAACATTTTATCTTCTGTGAGTCACTGAGTTGATTGCCAAACAAACCAAACAGATCCAGAGGAACTCATTTTAAAAAGTAAAAGCAGGCACTTAAAAAAAAAATTAAAGAATATACTAAATATATTAATCTCTAATCTAAAGGACCTGATGTTTAGCGTGAACATGAATGTAATTTGATATGTTTAATGTAGTTAGAATATTTTTTTCAAATTAAAAAACCCCTCAAACTCAGTAGGCAGTTGTTTGAAATATAGGAACTGTTAAATTATTTCTAAGGATGGAAATTATATTAGTAATGATCATCAACTATTTGCTTAGCTAAAAACTATATTTACTTTGCATAGTTAGGAGCTATATTTAGATGGGGAAGTAAGTGGTATAGGGTCAGTGCTCTAAGTGAAGAACTGACTGTTTTTGTAGACACCAGAGGTATAGTATTTTGAACTTTTTCTTACTCAGCTTCACCACAGGTCTTGATTTTAGATCTGCCTAGGTTTCTTTGTAAAATGGTGTTATTAAACTATCTCTTCAGATCTTTTGAGTGTTTCATGTTTTTTATTAGAAAAATGACTGTATGTTACAGTGCACAAATATATACAAGAATATCATATTCTTGATTTTTTTCCCCAAATCTTCAGTGGGTATTATATATTTGATCTAATTCTGATTTTGTTGAATCTTACATTTCTATCTATGGAAAAAAGGTTACTAAGCAAACTGATCATTTGTAAATAAAATTTGAAGGTTGATGTTTAGTTAAGATTATTTTCAAGCACATTAGAAAAGCACATTTGTAGTCAATTGATAAGATCAGTGTAGGTGATTCTTTACTGTTAACACCATGTGGCTGACAATCTCCACTAGATAAAGATGGCTTATGCCCTTATTTTTTTTAGAAGTTAAAATTTAGATGTCTAACATTTAGACTTGACTACTCTTAGGTAAGTAAAATAATAGTTTTTACTCTGCTTAGGGAAAAAACCCTATGGGTTATCTGTAGTGCAAATAGATGACCTAAGATATCAACTTAAAAATTTTCCTCTTAAAGCCGATTAAACGTTTCACTTTTTTTAGTTTTGCATTTTCCTTACAGTTCATCATTTCTGCAGAGGTTATTTGAATAAAGATAAAAGTACAAAAAATTCTCCCCTCTTGTAAGCTGTTTCTTGTAAGTGTATTTCTTAGTGCAAATTTAAATGAGGTAAGGAAATACATTAGAGAGGATGGGTAACTACAAAGAATAGTTTTGGGGCAAAATGCGTACCAGTAATAAATGTGGTAGATTTGATGGTAATTTGTTACATCAGAGGCATAGTTTGCATTTTATAATTAGTGTACATTTTGATCAAGTGGTGATAAGGTCAGAATCAAATGAACAATTTGTGCTCATATGAGGGATCAGTATGAATACTTTTGTCTAACTTTCTAAAATTAATAACTGTCTTAATGAGTTTAGAGATTTTTTTCCTGTTTCCCAGAATGTAGTTTTGTACCTGCATGTCAGAGCTACGCGGTGAAAAACAAAAAAAAAATTTTTTTAACCGAATACATCTTTGGAAGACAGCACTGCATTACATTTTAGAATTTGTGGGATTAAAAAAAAAAAGATGGTTTAACCCTTGGTAAACATATGTAATTTGCAAATAAACTGTTGAGTAAGACAACTGATCAAATGAGAGAATGGATGTAAAAGAATTTTGTAAGTTAAGAGTCTAAAAATATAGGCTAGTACTTCAAACTATGATTGAAATATTTACTAATGTTTTTGGGGATTTTTCCTCTCCCCAAACATTTTCTTGGTTTATCTAGAATTATCTGAAAATATTTCTAAGGTAAGTGAGGGTAACTAAGGGTTGGGCTCAGATGTACCTTTTAGTTGTTTGTACACAACAGTTATACTAGTTGGATGTTTGCTTACTTACTAAAATGAAGTATGCAAGAAAAAAGTATGCAAAACAGGTTTGTTATAAAATACATTGAAGGACATTTCAATGTAGTCTTCAGAATGACTTTGGGAATAGTGCCCTCTTATGGTTTAGGAAATAGGGAGTCTTTAATCATTTTTACCATTAAAAAATGGTAAAACATTTAAAAATGTTAACATTTTGAAAAAGGCTTACGATAAAAAACTTAGAAATGTATCCTTTTGATGTTAGAAATGGGAAAAAAATTAAGAAACTTCAAGGAAGAAAAGAAAAAGGATGGGCTTGAATCAATGTGCAGCCAGCTAGTAGTGTTTTCACTGGGAGAACAAGGAAGAAATCAAGAATTGGGTTAATTTGAATCCCTTTAGAATTCTGGAAGTAGAAAGTGTGGAACCAGAGCTCAATTTGTTCAGGTAAAGAGGTAGAACTAGTTTGGGAATAGTGTGTTAGTAATGGCTTGAACCTGTATTTTGTCCACACATAGCATTTTGTTCTGTTGAGGTTTCATGTACGTTATATATATACATTAAAATAATGTAAGGATTTTGTTAGACTACAAAATGCATAAAGAATATAATTAATTAAGCCATTCTCTTTTGTAAAGGTGTGGTTTGCTTCCATCCCTCAATAAAGTATTACTGCCATGTTAGGCAGAAAGAGGAAAGAAAAGGAAAGATATAAAATTAGTTTAAAACTCATTTTAATTTCCAGACTTAGAGATGGGTGACAGAAACACGTATGTAAAGACTA